TTAGGAGGCTTGTAGAGTGACCTTGGGGGAATGGGGGGGGGGGCATGGCCAGGGTGGCCATGAGCAGCTCAACATCCACTGTGGGGGCCCAGCGCTTTGCAAGCAAAAATGGGTTACCGGGCTGTTTTTAGCTGCAACAGCCTCCTGCAACCCTCTGCCAGCGAAAATGGAGCTCCATGTGCAGCCCTCCTGAGGTCTGTTTTTGCTGGCAGAGGCACTGTTTTTGCTGGTCCACTGTTTCCAGGGTCTCCACAGGCCAGATTGAAGCACCCCGCAGGCTGGATCTGGCCCCTGGCCCTCGAGTCTGACACCCCTGGTCTAGCCGTTCTGCACAAGCTGAAATGCTTTTGCCCAAACCTAGGGAGATCATTTCTGCCAGTACCCTGTTTCCCCAAAAATAAGACCTCCCCGCATAATAAGTCCAATCGGGCTTTTGAGCGCATGTGCTAAAATAAGCCCTCCTCCCCCAAAAATAAGCCATCCCAGAAAATAGTGCAACATAGTAGCAGCCATGAGGTGATCACGCTTGCCGTCTCCTGTACCTCAAAATTAGTAAGACCTGCCAGAAAATAAGGCCAAGTGCTTATTTTGGGGGGGGGGGGGTCAAAAGAAAATAAGACCCTGTCTTATTTTCAGGGAAACACGGTAGGTTTTGTACCAATTTAGATGACTTGAGTTCCATAAAGTCAAAATAACTGCTTCAAACTTGAAATATTCCGCACGGCATTATATTACGCTATAACTTGCCGTAAGATGTGTGGATTTCAAGTCCCAGAATTCTGGCTGAGGAATTCTGGGAGATGGTTCACTACGGAATTATGAAGTCCATCAGGAATTATGGGAGCTGTTGCTCCCAGCACCTTTGAGAAGCTGTCTACTATGGATTGGAAATTTTTAAATTACCTATGTCAAAGCATTTGATGGAATAATCAGCCAACGCCACAAGGAATTCTGTTTTCCTGCGAAGAGTAAATGCCAAAGCAGTGCAAGCTTGTCCTGTTCGTTGAACCAGGTTGAACCTATTGGGACAAACCTAAATTATTCCGGCAGAGTGTAAGACATCATTTACAGCAGCTGTCAGGTCAAGCAATCTATCAATGTTTCATAGACTCCTCAGACACCTGCTAATGGATAACCATGCTAATGCTAAAAGAGAATCATTTCATCAAAAATTAAACCCAGAGCAGGATGGAGCCCATTAAATGGCTCATGTGAGGTGCTGTTGCCGGGATGAGTGTGTGTGTGTGATTTTAGTATATTAATTTATTATATGACTCTTATTAGTTTTATTGTTTTTATATGGGGTTTTGTATTCTGTAAACTGCCTTGAGTCGCCATGTGTGAACAGGTGGCAATATACATTTCTTGAAATAAATAAATAAATAAATAAATAAATAAGGGCCTCGACATATTCTAAAACATGCCAGATATTCTATACTTGTATTTATGTATATGTCTCTGTATAT